AGATATTCAGATTATTTTTACTTTTGTCTATCACAAAAATATATTGAGATTGTGGCCAACAGGTGGTGTGGTGGTTAAGGGTGTTGGACTCCCACATGACTGACTGCAGTTTGAGTCCCAGACCTAGTGGCTTGCTTGCTTTCTCACTTTCTTTCTCTCTCTCTCTCTCTCTCTCTCTCACGCACGCGCGCGTGCACATCAAAACTTAATAAATAAATAAAATTTAAAAATTCTTTAAAAAAAGTGTGTGTGTGTGTGTGTATATGTATTTACACACACGCACACGCAGAAAGAGAGACAGACAGAGAGAGACAAAGAGAGACAGAGAGGCAGGCCAGCACAGGACATATTAAGTGACCTTGATCTCACATGACCAACCCCATGGTTAGAGTCCTAGACCAAGTGGCTTGAAAAACATTTTAGGTGCTTGGGAACCAGCAGTTAGCGTAATGGCTATGTCGCGGGACTCCCACGTAGTCAACCGCGGTTCACGTCCCGGACCTGGTGGCTTAAAACTCACGCCGGGCGCGTGTGCATGCGTGCCCAAGATCCTGAGAGGAGAATGGAGGAGAAGGGATTGTGGCGTGACCATCCCCCCTGGGGGGTGATTTCTCGCTTTCTGTCTCTATGTCTCTCTCTGTCTGTCTGGTGAGCGCATGCACCCTATAGTGAAAACCTCTCCAAAAAAAAAAAAAATTTTTAGGTGCTTGTGGGTACATGCCCAAAATCCTGAAAGAAGGAGTGTTCTCTCTCTCTTTCAGCAAGCACTCATGCCTGCTAGCAAATATATATGATAGATAGATAAACAGATAGATAGGTATAAATGATAGATGATAGAACGTAATATAATTATATATAGTTAAACACAACCAGTATACATAGTTTTAAATCTTTTATTTATTTATTTATTTTTGGAGAGGTTTTCACTATAGGGTGCATGCGCTCACCAGACAGACAGAGAGAGACATAGAGACAGAAAGCGAGAAATCACCCCCCAGGGGGGATGGTCACGCCACAATCCCTTCTCCTCCATTCTCCTCTTGGGATCTTGGGCACATACGCACAAGAGCCCAGCGTGAGTTTAAGTCATGGGGTCCGGACTTGAACCACAGTCAACTACATGGGAGTCCAGCCACATAGTCATTATGCCAACTGCTGGTCCCTTTAATCCATATTTCTATCTAAAATAGATTTCTAAGAATACAGAGTATAGGACCAATGAACATAACCAGTTATAAAGCCCTTATTATATAGTGTCAAAATTCTTTCCAGAATATTTATATCAACACACACTCACCAGCACTGGACAATAAAATTGTCATTAATCTTGGCCAATAAAGCAGTTAAAAGTATTTCTGTTTTTAAATTGCATTTCTTGGGACCAACAGATGGAGTAATGGTTACATTGCTGGACTCCCAAGGACCCAGCGGCTTAAAACTTGCAAGGGGCACATGTGCTCGAGTGCCCAAGATCCCGAGAGGAGAATGGAAGGGAAGAGATTATAGCATGGCTAATCCCTTCTGGAGGGTGATTTCTCGCCTTCTGCCTCTCTATATCTCTCTGTCTCTCTGGTAAGTGCACATACCCACTAGCAAAAATCTCTCAAAAAAAGGAAAAAAAATAGCATTTCATTAGTGACTTATGAAATAGAAAATTTTTAGATGTCTATTTATTTCTGAGAATTACTTTTTTACTAGTTCTTCCCTTATCTTTATAACAGTGTGGGTAGATATTATAATTTGTCAAAACTATTTTATAACTGTTGTCGTATGGAAAACGTATTATGAAGAAACTATGTGTGGATTTCAAAGCCTTTTTGCACTAAAATAAACTTGCATTTCAATTGCCTTTTCCCACACATTTTTCTGTCTCCTTACAGTTGTTGCAAATATTTTTCCAGTGTGTTCCCCACCTTTATGTAGTTGAATCTATACATATTTTTCCTTTGTCTTATGCCATTTCATTTTCTCTAGAAAATACTATTTCTTAGACAGAAATTAGATATATGTTGTTCTCTTTGTTGTATTTGTTTTGTGAATTAATCTGTTTTATTTGAAGTCTTTAACATATGCTACTTTTTTTATCTCTCTCTCAGGTTTTTGTTTGGTTGATTGGTTGGTTTGGTTGTGGGTTTTTTTCTTGTTTTTTGAGGGGATTTTTTGGTGATGGCATTAAGAGAAGACTACTTTACTTTTTTTTAAGCCTATCTATAATAGTTAATGAGAAATCTTTCATACACTACATACAGTATTCTTTAAAATATTCTTCAAAAAATGTGATTTTCTTCTTATTGTGTTTATGCGTGCTTCTTATACCTGCTTCTTACTTAGCTTAGTTGTATTTATTTCTGTCTTTAAAACACCAAAAAGCTTTAGAATTTATCAAGACTAATATTTTTCTATTGTATGATGTATTTACCTGCATTTAGCCTTTTGTCTAACTTTAATTAGTTTTCATCCCTTGATGTGAGTACTTTCTTAATTTATTTTCTCTCTTAATATTACAATAATTAAATATTACAAGAATAAGAATAATAACATTGGTTTGCTCCCTTTTTTGTACCTTTATCAAGACATTGGAGGGACCAGCAGTTGGCGTAATGGCTATGTCACTGAACTCCCATGTAGTCGACCAAGGTTCGAGTCCTGGACCCAGTGGCTTAAACTCACGCCGGGTTTATGTGCATGCGTGCCCAAGATCCCAAGAGGAGAATGGAAGAGAAGGGATTGCGATGTGGCCATCCCCCTTAGGGGGTGGTTTCTTGCTTTCTATCTCTCTGTCTCTCTCTGTCTTTCTGGCAAGCACACACGCCCTATAGCAAAAACCTCTCCAATAAAAAAAGAAAAAGAAAAAAGAATTTGGAGAGTGTAGAAATGTGTCTTTACCTTTAGTTAAAAACTTTGATCCATGTAATAATATTCTTCAGTTTCTCTATGTTATTTTTCCTATTATATATATGAGAAAGTCAGGTTCAGTACACAGCTTCATGTGGCCTATAATTGATGAGATAGGATCGAAAAATAGTCTAACTATAAAGAACACACTCGGTCCAGTAAATTATGGTGCTTTTGTTTTCTCACTGTTGAAGCATCTCTTTTTGGGGGGTAGTGGAGGAGGTTTTTGCTATAGGGTGAGTGTGCTCACCCGAAAGAGATAAACAGAGAGACAGAAAGTGAGAAATCAACCCCCCCACACACACACACATCCCACCCCAGGGAGGATGGCCATGCCACAATCCCTTCTCCTTGCTCCTCTTGGGATCTTGGGCACGCATGCACATGCACCCAGCATGAATTTAAACCACAGGGTCCGGGACTCGAACTGCGGTGGACTACATGGGAGTCCAGCAACACAGCCATTACGTCAACTGCTAGTCCCAAAGTATCTGTTTGCTAAACAGATCAGAGAATTTTTCATAGTCTTCCTTAGTTGGGTTTTGATCTGCAAACTACCCCTGAACCTAACATAACAGAAGTTTTCCAAATAGTGAATTCTAAAGTTTCAAATAAATTTAGAGAATGTCACATAGCATCACGCTGTCTGGTATTTTTTTTTTGGGGGGGGGGTTTACTATAGGGCACATGCGCTCGCCAGACAGAGAGAGACAGAGAGACAGAAAGCAAGAAATCACCCCCCAGGGGGGATGGCCAT